CCTCAAACAGTCACACTCCAAACTCCACTATGGCCAAGACCAAAGAGCTGTCAAAGGACACCAGAAACAAAATTGTAGACCTGCACCAGGCTGGTAAGACTGAATCTGCAATAGGTAAGCAGCTTGGTTTGAAGAAATCAACTGTGGGAGCAATTATTAGGAAATGGAAGACATACAAGACCACTGATAATCTCCCTCGATCTGGGGCTCCACGCAAGATCTCACCCTGTGGGGTCAAAATGATCACAAGAACGGGTGAGCAAAAATCCCAGAACCACACGGGGGGACCTAGTGAATGACCTGCAGAGAGCTGGGACCAAAGTAACAAAGCCTACCATCAGTAACACACTACGCCGCCAGGGACTCAAATCCTGCAGTGCCAGACGTGTCCCCCTGCTTAAGCCAGTACATGTCTAGGCCGTCTGAAGTTTGCTAGAGTGCATTTGGATGATCCAGAAGAGGATTGGGAGAATGTTATATGGTCAGATGAAACCAAAATAGAACTTTTTGGTAAAAACTCAACTCGTCGTGTTTGGAGGACAAAGAATGCTGAGTTGCATCCAAAGAACACCATACCTACTGTGAAGCATGGGGGTGGAAACATCATGCTTTGGGGCTGTTTTTCTGCAAAGGGACCAGGACGACTGATCCGTGTAAAGGAAAGAATGAATGGGGCCATGTATCGTGAGATTTTGAGTGAAAACCTCCTTCCATCAGCAAGGGCATTGAAGATGAAACGTGGCTGGGTCTTTCAGCATGACAATGATCCCAAACACACCGCCCGGGCAACGAAGGAGTGGCTTCGTAAGAAGCATTTCAAGGTCCTGGAGTGGCCTAGCCAGTCTCCAGATCTCAACCCCATAGAAAATCTTTGGAGGGAGTTGAAAGTCCGTGTTGCCCATCGTCAGCCCCAAAACATCACTGCTCTAGAGGAGATCTGCATGGAGGAATGGGCCAAAATACCAGCAACAGTGTGTGAAAACCTTGTGAAGACTTACAGAAAACATTTGACCTGTGTCATTGCCAACAAAGGGTATATAACAAAGTATTGAGAAACTTTTGTTATTGACCAAATACTTATTTTCCACCATAATTTGCAAATAAATTCATAAAAAATCCTACAATGTGATTTTCTGGAGAAAAAAAATCGCATTTTGTCTGTCATAGTTGACGTGTACCTATGATGAAAATTACAGGCCTCTCTCAACTTTTTAAGTGGGAGAACTTGCACAATTGGTGGCTGACTAAATACTTTTTTTCCCCACTGTATATACTCAGCAACGTCCCTTTTTCAGGACCCTGTCTTTCAAAGATAATTCGTAAAAATCAAAATAACTTCACAGATCTTCATTGTAAAGGGTTTAAACACTGTTTCCCATGCTTGTTCAATGAACCATAAGCAATGAATGAACATGCACCTGTGGAACGGTCGTTAAGACACTAACAGCTTACAGACGGTAGGCAATAAAGGTCACAGTTATAGAAACACTAAAGAGGCCTTTCTACTGACTCTGAAAACACCAAAAGAAAGATGCCCAGGGTCCCTGCTCATCTGCGTGAACGTGCCTTAGGCATGCTGCAAGGAGGCATGAGGACTGCAGATGTGGCCAGGGCAATAAATTGCAACTGCCCGAGTTACACCAGGAACGCACAATCCCTCCATCAGTGCTCAGACTGTCCGCAATAGGCTGAGAGAGGCTGGACTGAGGGCTTGTAGGCCTGTTGTAAGGCAGGTCCTCACCAGACATCACCGGCAACAACATCACCTATGGGCACAAACCCACCGTTGCTGGACCAGACAGGACTGGCAAAAAGTGCTCTTCACTGACGAGTCGCGGTTTTGTCTCACCAGGGGTGATGGTCGGATTCGTGTTTATTGTCGAAGGAATGAGCGTTACACCGAGGCCTGTACTCTGGAGCGGGATCGATTTGGAGGTGGAGGGTCTGTCATGGTCTGGGGCGGTGTGTCACAGCATCATCGGACTGAGCATGTTGTCATTGCAGGCAATCTCAACGCTGTGCGTTACAGGGAAGACATCCTCCTCCCTCATGTACCCTTCCTGCTGCTCATCCTGACATGACCCTCCAGCATGACAATGCCACCAGCCGTACTGCTCGTTCTGTGAATGATTTCCTGCAAGACAGGAATGTCAGTGTTCTGCCATGGCCAGCGAAGAGCCCGGATCTCAATCCCATTGAGCATGTCTGGGACCTGTTGGATCGGAGGGTGAGGGCTATGGCCATTCCCCCCAGAAATGTCTGGGAACTTGCAGGTGCCTTGGTGGAAGAGTGGGGTAACATCTCACAGCAAGAACTGGCAGATCTGGTGCAGTCCATGAGGAGGAGATGCACTGCAGTACTTAATGCAGCTGGTGGCCACACCAGATACTGACTGTTACTTTTGATTTGACCCCCCCTTTTGTTCAGGGACACATTATTACATTTATGTTAGTCACATAGTCTGTGGAACTTGTTCAGTTTATGTCTCAGATGTTGAATCTTGTTATGTTCATACAAATATTTACACATGTTAAGTTTGCTGAAAATAAACACAGTTGACAGTGAGAGGACGTTTCTTTTTTTCCTGAGTTTATATATACATACATACATATATATATATATACATACACATACACACACATATACATATCCTTTAAAAAAATATATTTCCCTTTATTACTTTACAACCACACCATCCCTTCCCTAATTGGAGTAAACTAGTGAACAGCAACGCTTAGGCCTCTACTTCCAGCTTATACATACTATATAGTGGTCCTCTGTAGCTCAATTGGTAGAGCATGGCGCTTGTAACGCCAGGGTAGTGGGTTTGATCCCCGGGACCACCAATACATAAAAATGTATGCATACATGACTGTAAGTTGCTTTGGATAAAAGCGTCTGCTAAATGGCATATTATTATATTATTATATACATTTTATGGACACAGTCAATTTTACAATAATTATTTTTTGTTTGTTTTTACTCCTGAACTTCCTCTACCCTCAACCTCAACCTCTCCGATCATTTTCATGATGTCCATCCGGTTTGCTTCTATATGCCATATCTTTCTAACTGTGCTCTTTCACAAAAGCTCTCAACCTATAACCTTTATACGTATTATGGACACAGTATGCTTTACATTTTTAGTTATCTTGTTGTTATTAGTTGTTGTTAATTGTTATTAGTTCCATCCTTCACCTCCATTCAACACCTCCCATCTATCTCTCAACACCATCCATATTGGATTTCTATTTGCCATGTATTTTTCAACTGTACTGTGATATTTTACAAAAGTTCTGAACTCTTCTATTCTCATTGTTTCTACAGATTGTAAATGGAAAATAAACATTTTTGCTAAAAGTATTATTATATTATTGATCGATTGACTATGACTTTTCAGATCACCCAGTAATGCTATCTGCAGGGTTAGCTCCAGGTAAATATTGCAATCCTTTAGCCATTCCTGGACCTGTGTCCAAAAACAAGCTACAAATGGACAGTACCAAAACAAATGATCTAATGATTGTGTCTCTTCGCAGCAAAATCAAATCAATTGTTAGAGGGGTAAAAACAGACTTGAATTTTATAGAAACAAATGTATTTTTAAGGAACGTTTTTGAATAAATGTCAGTTTATCCAATGATGCAGGCCTATTTTTAGGCTACATGTGTAATAACTATCTAATAACATAAAGAGTGCAGAATGAGTAATCATTTGTAGATTAAATGTCTAAATGTTTGACCATTAGTTTGTAATTATTTGAGGAAATAAAACAAATGCATGTGGTGACATTGTGACAATTTGATGATAGGCAATTCCAAAGAAACAGAGTGACACAGCCTCAGATTTTTCACTTTAAAATGTATATAAAACCAAAACCAATTGTTGCAAAGTTAAACAAACAATACAACTCCATGCACAAGGACAAGGCCTACTTTTAACAATTCGCACAGAATTTTTTACAAAAACAAATTTACTTGAAGAACAGCGCAAATGCTAAGTTTGGTAACAGAATGACAGAGCCACAGATATAACATTGATGTATAAATATGAAGCATCCGGTTGGCCTTTACCACTCACTACCAAATATGGTGGTGAGAGGAAGCCCAGTGGCCGGCATTGGGAGAAGATGGAGGGAGATGGATATTGGCCGACATTCTGCAAATGTTTTCATCGATAAAACATTTGATCTCAATACAGTTCTGTTTCCCAAACTATAATCTGTTACGAACAGAGTGGACTAAGTTTAGTAGACTTTACCCTTTGCCAAAGTTTCCAAAAAATGTGTTGCTTCGAAGGAGTGCGAGGGCGAATTGAGTTATTGCACATGCGCACTTCACAGAGTAGGCGTTCCCTAACGGAAATATGCAAATACATGCTATAATGCGCCAATAGGCTCTCGCTAGCTCGTGCTTGGCTGCTTGTTCTGCCTACTATTATTAATTTGCTCCCATTGGAAACGTCAGGCTGTGGTTACTTCCAAAAATCTTTGACAGCACTAACCTTCATTTTGTTACCAAACTTTGCATCTGCACTGTTCTTCAAGTAAATGTGTTTTTGTACATTTTTCAGTGAAAATTGTTAAAAGTAGTCCTTGTGCATAGAGTGTGTGGTTTGTTTAACTTTGCAATCATTGGTTTTTGTTTGACATACAGTACATTTTAAAGTGAAATCTGTGTCACGATCCCACGATACCCCCCGCTCTGGATAAGAGCTTCTGCAAAATTACGTAAATGTAAATGTGCAGTTCAAAGCTTCGTCCAGATGGGGCAATCTCGAGACCATTACGCGGACAAGACTTGTATATTAACTTCTAGAGGTTTTATTTACAGACTTACAGTTTAAGTACGTTATGACTTTGTTTCTGAACAAAAGAAGTGGATTATTTCAAGATTTTGTCCGCAAACTATTCAGTCTTGCGAAAACGAGTCTATAATAACAAGGAACCGAAAATCTTGAATAGGAATATTTTTTTTGTATCCTACAACACTGTCAATGCAATGGAAGATTCGGACACCAGAGCAATTCTTCCCGAAGATACTCTATCGTCTGCAGACGACGACATACCGATAAATGACACATTTTCTAAAAACGAGGAGGTTGAGAAGAAGGGACACATTTGCTCTAGACGGCCGCCGTTCGCTTGCCCGCTTTCGGTTTCTGTTGAACCCGTGTTGTTCTTATCGATGTTCTCGCTGTCTCTTCAGTGGCCGCTGTCTACGCAGTACCTATGGGACCGCATCAGTGAAGACGTCGGTTACAATGGAACAAAAGTAGGGGGATGTGCCAACACTTCTGGGCCCCCAGACCCACTTCAAAAGGTGGGGGAAACAGACAATCCTCTATCACCCCTGCAGCCTCGCTACTGTTATTTTACTGCTGATCTTTAATAGATGTTGTACTTATCAATTTCTTACTTAACACTTATTTTTCTTAAAAGTGCATTGTTGGTTAAGGGCTTGTAAGTAAGCATTTCACTGTAAGGTTTACACCTGTTGTATTCGGCGCATGTGACAAATACAATTTGATTTGATCACTCCTGTTCTTGGAGGCCCACACTGTGTGCAGGCTTTTATTTCAGCCCAGCACTAACACAGCTGGTTCAGCAAATAAAGGTCTTGAATGATGATTAAATAATGTATTGGTTGTTTGAAAACATAAAATAATAACCTAACATCACGTGTAACATCTTAATAATCCAGGATCAGTTTCAGACAAACAGGCACATGACATCAACCAGACGAAGATACAGTACATCAATATTAAAAGCAGCACGTCAGTAAAGAACATGTACATGACACAAGTTCAAAAAATTTTTTTGTGCAATACATCAAAAGACGGCCAATAACAGTATCAAAATACTTAATGTAAGACAGCATCGTTCCTTACATAAGGCAACGCCAACTAGTGACATCAGGTGACAACTAGAAACAACTACATGTCTCAACAACCTGTTCATCTATTTGTCCTTGACACCAGGTCCTGGAGTTTTAGGTTGGCTTGCAAATAACTGACCATAACAATGAACTGTTTGCTTTCATCATAACTCAAACCATATCCTCTCATCATCAGGAGGTGGAGACCCTGACAGCCCACTGGAACCTGTACATCAATTTGGGAGGCTTTGCAGTGGGGCTGTTTGTGGTGACTCTGCTGGGCTCCTGGAGCGACCAGGGGGGCCGGCGGCCCGTGCTCATCCTGCCCAGCCTGGGTCTGGCCCTGCAGGCTGGGGTCTACCTGGTGGTCATGTACCTCAAGCTGCCCGTGGTCTGGTTCCTCCTGGGCAGGCTGCTCTCAGGCCTCTCAGGTAGGGATAAGTCCTGTATTGATAAGGAGATGGGACACCATTATGTTAGCATCAGGAACATCTTTACTAAGATACAACCGGATAATACATCATGCTAAGTCCAACTCAAGTTTTTCAGAATCAATTAGTTGCTAGGGCCAATTAACCAATTAATCCGCTTTTTTAAAACATTTTTTTTTTTATCAATGTGGGTATCCTTGACTGACTTATCGATGCATCAATTAACTCATCCTTACTCTCAGGCGACTTCAACACCATCCTGGCAGGCTGCTTTGCCTATGTGGCTGACACCAGCGACAGGGGCTCCCTGACCTTCAGGGTGGCAGTGCTGGAGGCCTGTCTGGGACTGGCTGGCATGCTGGCTAGTATCATAGGGGGGCAGTGGCGGCAGGCACAAGGGTAGGTTATATCATGTTAAGATGGCCCAAGGTAGCTAGCTATCTGTGGATGAAAAACATATCACTCTCATAGTCTTCTTCAATTCATTTTTTGATTACAGTATGTTTGTAAGCTTCTAAACTTGTGATACAGTAATGTAACTGGATAACACTTATACCTCTCATGGGGACTTGATCCATACTGAAATAACTGAAATCCCCACCCTTTATTTTCCTCTCCAGGTACATTAACCCATTCTGGCTGGTGCTGGCCACTAACCTGGCTGCTGCCCTTTATGCCTACCTGTTTGTACCCGAGTCCATCACCCCTGACCCCAGTGCCAAACTCTTCACCACCCGCCACCACCGCGCTATCTACCGCCTCTACTCTGCACTAGGCGACCCCACCGAGGTCGGCAGTCACACAAAATGGAGGAGGTACAAACTGTGGCTCTACACCTTCTGCTTCTTCCTGGTGGTGACGGTCCACTTTGGCAGCCGGGAGCTGTATGTTCTGTATGAGCTGAGCTCGCCGCTGTGCTGGGGCCCAGGGCTGATTGGCTGGGGGTCTGCAGCCCTGAATCTGGCCTACCTCAGCAGCCTCCTGGGGTTGAGGACCATGCAGCGATGTCTAGAGGACTCCTGGGTGTCTCTGGTGGGACTGGCCTCAAACATGACCGGCCTGGTGGTCATCTCACTGGCCAACACTACTGAACTCATGTTCACAGGTGAGAGGCTATCCCAGAAGACAAAACAAGTTAAATTGACATCATTACAACCAGATTACAATCAGTTTAGAGTTGACTAGATTTGTTTATTGTTATGACCTTTTTCACAATGTATTATTAGTCTTAGTGAACATGTGCTCTTGGCTCAGCTATCAACAGTATAAGTCTTTGCAGCATTACCTGGTGGTGTCTTGAGAACAGTGCACTGGGAGAAACGCTCTAGTAGCACACAGTAAGACATGTGTCCCAGAGTACTAGATCAATAAGCCTGCCCTGGACGACTTCTGTTTTCTCTCTCCTCCTGTCTCGTTCTTCCACAGAGATCACACAGCTGGGTAAAGGTTGCAAAACTCACCGCTTATTCACTGCCCTCTAGTGATGGTGATAGATTATACATGGAACATGCCCATCATCATTGTTTTGTCTCCATTCCCCAAGTAACTTTCCGTAGTGTACCTTTAACAGGTAAGTGTGTGTCCACTCCCCTTCTCTAACAGGCTATGGGCTGTGCTTCCTCTACATGGCAGCCACTCCAGTCCTCAGGGCCAAGCTGTCCAAGCTGGTGGGGCCTGAAGAACAAGGTGAGAGAGAGCTTTCAAAAGAGGGCCCTTAGCTGGGATATATTCACAATATGTCACGAACTCTCATGTATACAGTTTCATAGTGCTCTATGACTACATCTATAAGGTGCTATAAATGTTCATAAGGTAGCATAACACTTCATAAGAATATGTTTTAAGTGCTACAGACATCCTCTATGTCCTGTCCTGTGTGTTTCAGGTGCGTTGTTTGCGTCAGTGGCCTGTGTGGAGGGGCTGTGTTCCCTGGTGGCCAGCGGCCTCTTTAACTCTCTCTACCCAGCCACCCTGCACATCATGAAGGGATTCCCCTTCCTGTTCGGAGCCCTCCTCCTCCTCATCCCCACAGGGATCATTGGGTAAGTCCTTCCTTACCTGAAATTCCTATTTCAGTTTTCCTAATTTAAAACACTGAGGCCATAAACACCTTGTTGTGTGTTTAGGATAGTGGAGTGTCGGGATCAAAGGACAGATAGAAGAGAGGACTCTGCAACATCCTGACACTGACAGACAGACAGCCAGACAGACAGGTAGTAGATAAACTTCCTCACATCACAGCTTGAGCCTCTGGAAGGCCACAGCCTCTGCTGCCCTACATACACCTTTTCACCAGTGTGTAGGAGAGGTAGCTGACTGTCATTCGACCACACAGAGGTTAGATTCCGTGGCTTCAACACCAAAAGACCAAAAAGCTGGAACCACCAGCCAACCCCCCATGACAGACATCACTGTGCGCTACGTCATGTGAGACAAGAAGAGAAAGAGGTCTGGGTTCCCTGTTGTATTTTAAACTGAAAATCTAATGTGAGCTGACATACAATTGTGGTCAAATAATACCCACAGTACTATAGCAAACTATCCAAGGGCAGGCAGAAAATACATGACTCAGAAAATATGAAATTCAATAACAGTGCATCTCGATGTCACCAAAGCATGCGAGCAGCAGATAGATCGGCTGTAGCCCAACTTGTCCAGACTCAACCATTAGTATCTCTTAACAAAACGAGACCCATCGGCTTCTAACAGCAGTCAGGGAGTACTGAGTTACACTGCTTACAGTTTACTGTCATCCCTCCATTCAACAGATAGCCCAGTCTAACCCCTTAAGTGCACTCACACAGCAACCCTGTCACCCCTCCATACAATACAACAGATAGGCAAGGCAAGTCTGTGTGTGTGCCAATAGATGGCCTAGTCTAAACTCCCTGCTCCCTAAAGTGTTCTCACATAGCAACACAAGGCCACAGCTAGCTCACACACACCACACTCACTGACCTGGGTTCAACCCTCAGTAGCACAGGGGGCAACCAGATCTCTTATAACACATTTAAAAGGATGCAACTGGAACTGAGGGATTACGGCCAGGGGAAGAGTTGAAGCATTACTGTCACTCAGTATTTGGGATGATATATTTTGATTGGCTGTTAGGGAGAAGGAAGGCCTGTGATAGGCCTACTGGCTTCCTGTCTTCTGAAATCATGTAACCAATGTGTTCAATGCACTGACTGGAAGTTGCTTTGGATAAGAGTTTCTGCTAAATGACTAAAATGTAAATGTTGTGAGAAAATATTGTGAATTGATTTTATTGTCTGCACCGTACAGTATTTTTAGATACTGTGAATGATATTTATCATATTTTAAAAAGGGAACGAATTAATGATTGAATCATGCAAATTATATATTTGACAACACTTATAAAGCATTCATAGCACCTTGTAGATGCAGACTGGGAACATATGAAACTCTACAATAAAGCAAGCCACAAAAGCTCATGGTATATCATGAGCGTTTCACAACTAGGGGCCTTCTGCCTCATGCCTTACTGATTTAGTCTGTAGTTTCATTACGATTGCATCAATGATTGCATCTATTAGCTGCTATGAATATGTTAATAATAATAAGGCAATATAACGCTTCATAGGGATCCATTTCAAGTACACAGAACGAATCACAGATTTACTGTATCAGGTTAGTTGTTTTTATTGCGTCACTGTATTGTAAAATGACAACACTGCCTAAATCTTGAATAAAAAAAGTTAACAAGAACATGTCCATGTATACAGTATTTAATCAACATACCTGTATTGAGAGCAACACATATATTAAGGCAACAGGGGAAATAGCCCAGAAGAGCCATCAAAACAGTGACAAGATATAGCTAGCAGTGCTGAGAGCAAATACTGTAGCTTTAGACTGAGTTGACATTTTTAGTTTTCCTTTCCCCCACACCATTTAGCACTGTGTGGGTACATACAGTATCTACATCACTATATGAATCTACAAAACAAACATGTCACTAATAACCGAATAATTCCATGTTTAAAGTAAAGTGTTACCGTTCCACTTCATTGAATTATAAATACAATAACCTGATGATTTTATGACTTCTGTGGTGATTTTGCAACACTTACATAATAATATCTAAACTGATAATCAGATACTGCATGATTGTTTTGTTAGACGTTTTTCTGATCTTGTCACAGATAATAGTATTGACTTCAAGTGATTTAGACAGGGGTGGTGCATGCTGGTACATGTCTAAAAAGGATCCTCAATGTGAGCCATGTATACAGTATTTAGCTCTGCCCTCGATGTGATATCATTTATCTACTGAACTGCTTCTATCCAATAGATACAAGCCAGTGAACTAAGGCTGACTGTCAAGCAGCCAAATCAATTACAGAATCTCTTTGTGTTAGGAAGGAATCAAACCTCAAATCAGCATTGTAGTTACAGCAGTTTAGCCAAACAAAGTAATGCAGCGTGTTGTGACTGTATACTACAAGACTTTCTGACAGGCAGGTGATGGAAGTGTTTTCATGGAGTAGCTTCAGCCTTAAGGGGTAGTAAACTGATTGTATCTTTGTGAACAGTGAGAGAAAGCGTCTATCCGTTTTCACATGAGCAAGATGCATTGATAATGGTATTTTTCATTGCCTCAAGCTTGGTTGAGAGAGAGTTCTTTGTGAACTCCTGATTGTCGCTAGGCAGATGAGTGTAAGTGGATAATGAGTATAGCTATTGTAGACCTCTTCTAGCCTGGTCCCAGATCTGTTTGTGCTGTTTTGCCAACTCATATGGTCCTTCTCATGACAAGGACCATTGGAGTTGGCAAAACAGCACACAAACAGATCTGGGACCAGACTAGATCTGTATAGGTCAGAGGTAATCTCTGTTGGAATAGGCTGTTTGCTAGCGCCCAGGTTACACAATCGTAAATACACATCAAATCAATGCAACAGTCGACCACCAATGAGCTTGCAGGATCCATTTAAGCACCATGAGAAGAAAAAAAAGAGATATTAATATAAAGTAATATAAAGTATTTTGCATACACTATGTACTTTACACAGGAACATTACTAAAAACCTAGCCTGGTCCCAGATCTGTTTGTGCTCTTGCCAAATCCAAGCCTAACATGTCAAGGAGTTGGAATGATAGCACAAACAGACTGGTACTCAGGCTACTATAAACCAGGATGTTGTCTTGTCTTTGAAAGTATGGGCGTATTTATAATGATGAGAGAGCAGTGCTATGGAGAGGAAACAGAGATACTCCACATTTTTATTATGTGTAATGCTGGATGCCATTGATGGCTGACTTTTCACACTGGTTATTTCCTGAGAGACAAACAATATACCTGGCCACGCTAATAACAGCTTATGACATTGGCACTGCAGTTTTGGAGAGCACTATGTGGTATTTACAAGTTCTGAAATGTCAAATTAGCATATGATTTAAATACAGACTATTAAACTTGTCTTCACATGCACAGGGGTAGAGCAGATCCAACCAGAGCGCAGAGGATGCTCTGTTTGGCATTATTGATTACTGATCACTAATGGGCACCATTTTACATCATCACAGACCAGAGCTCCACTCAAGGGCCTTTATTTCTTCTGTGGCCCTTGCAGCCCCTTAGAGCAGTCTGTCTTGGGACAGTCTGTCTGGTCTTGGCTGGGCTTGCCTTTGAGAAAACGCAGGATCTTCTCAATGGTGGCCTCTTGGTACTCATGGGACCACCTGTATCGAGAGAGAAAGGGAGGGAGGGAGAGAAAGAGGGAGAAAGAGAAAGAGGAAGGGAGAAAGAAAGTGGTGATAGAGAAAGATAGAGAGAAGGAAAGAGAAAGAGAGGAAGACAGAGAGAGGGGGAAAGAAAATGTAAGATACAGTCCACTCCAGAGAAGTGCACTTTGGATAAGTGTTCAAACTACTCATCTCTCTCAAACAGTCTGCCGTCTCTGTCTGACTAACTTGATGCCGTTGAAGTTGAGGATGGTTTTCATGTCCTCAGGCAGAGAGTTTGGGTCAGGCCACATGAAGTTATCAGTGACAGGGACGATGTTCTTCTTCCCAGCGAGAGCTGTGACTATCTCCTGCAAGATTTATGAGAGGTACGTTAAATCACAGACACACAGAATGTCTACGCAGACATGGAATGTCTAGACATGTAAGGGGCAGGGGAATATGGGGAAAATAATCTCTCAACTGTAACATTGTTCTGTATGCAGGGCAGGGGCGTCAATAGGCTATGGCAGAGAATGGCAGTCGCCATACCCTAGCTCATCACCAACAATTTACAATAGGCTACTAAAATCATTCCAAGGCAAATGCGGTATTAGCGGGCTGGCTTTAGGACCACGCACACGCCTTGGAGCGTGCGAGAAGGGTGTTTGTCCGGCTGGATGCCTTTGAGAGAGCGCATCGACGCAGCTGCAGTGAACAGTGCGACTTTTCTCTCAAAACACTGCAGAGGTGGAAGATGGCTATAGATGGCTAGGTAATTGCTGTTTGACTTGACATGAAACTAAACTGCAGTTTTTAATACCGGTGCTGAGCTAGTGCGTACAGTAGCAGCTAATTGCTGTACTATGTGTTTGTAGAATGTTAAGTCCTTTATGGACTGAGGTGAATGAAGCTACAGCAGCAAGGTGATAATGTCAAGTACATTTTTTGCTATTTGTTTTTAGTGTTTTTAAATTGTGTAGCAATGGAGTACATAAGCTTCAACTTTATATAAATTCCTTGGAGCTTCAACTTTGCCATGGCCTAAGTTTAGCTGAAATGATGCCACTGATGCAGGGTCCTCTCTATGTCTAATATTGTATATCACCAACATATAGATGGAACATTTAGACATGTAAAGGCTAGGGTGACAGGATTATACACATAGAAAAAACGTGGAATTCCATGTAGATACTATTGGACCTACACTGAGTGAACAAAACATTATGAACACCTGCTCTTTCCATGACAGACTGACCAGGTGAATCCACGTGAAACAAGGTGTTGAAAGCGTTCCACAGGGATGCTGCCCCATGTTGACTCCAATAATTCCCACAGTTGTGTCAAGTTGGCTGGATGTCCTTTGGGTAGGGGACCATTCTTGATACATGCAGGGAACTGTTGAGCGTGAAAAACCCAGCAGTGTTGCAGTTCTTGACAAAAAATATTGCGCCTTGCACCTAATACCATACCCCGTTCAAAGGCACTTAAATATTTTGTCTTGCCCATTCACCCTCAGAATGGCACACATACACAATCCATGTCTCAATTGTCTCAAGGCTTAAAAATCATTCTTTAACCTGTCTCATCCTCTTCATCTACACTGATTTAAGTGTATTTAACAAATGACATCAATAACGGATCATAGCGTTCACCTGGATTCAACTGGTCAGTCTATGTCATGGAAAAAGTAATGTTTTGTATACTCAGTGTATATTGTTCTGTATGCAGCACCCATCGATGTTTAGATCCGTCAATGTCTGACCTTGTGTACCCAGTCCTTCATGCCAGTGTCGCCCATGCACTTGTCGAGGGCATTGGCAGACAGCACCAGGATGAAGTTCCGTGCCCGCTGGACGCTCTGGATCAGCTTGTCCTTAAACTTCCCTGCTTCCAGCTTCTCCACGTCAATGAACACACTGAAACCTCGGACCTGCAGGTGGACCTTCAACAGACTGGGGGGAGAGAGGGAGGGAAGGGGAGGGGAGAGAGAGAGAGAAAAAGGTGGGGAGAGAGTAATGATTGACGATCTATAGATCTTAGCCTCCAGATAATCCTGACAAACCTGATAAAAGTTGTTTGTCTTCCAAAGCTCCCTAGCTTTCCCTCTCTCCTGACTATTATTCCTCTCCCTATCCATGCCTCTCCCTCTCCCTCTCCCTCTCCCTCTTCCTCTCCCTCTCTGCATACCTGGCGAGCTGGGAACCAGTGGTCCTGCGGTAGCTAATAAATACGTCCGGTCCAGGGGGCTGGGCATTGGTCAAACATGGCTTAATCAGCCTACGGTTGGCTGCCAGGATCTTGGCGCGATGGATGCCATTCTCTAGAAGGAGAAAAGGAATACTTTATTCTCCATTGTTTTGCAGGGAACATAAATGTGGCTTTTGGCTCACAACCCACCTATGTAACAGTCTGATTGGAGCTGCTGGTCGGTGAGGTGGAGGACATTCTTGCGGTCCACGCCAGACTGCACCAGGCCGTAGGTGTACTGGCGGAAGTGCGGGTTCACCTCGCCCAGCCAGTCTGCCATGTTGTTGGGGTCACAGGTCGAGTAGTTGGCGTAGGTCTTCAGCACGCGCAGGTCACGGAGGAACCTAGAAGACAACACAAAATGGAGTGGGCAGGGTGAGGTGGGGATTTTATTTCAATGCTCAATTTCACTGATGTTGACTGGTGTACCAGACGTTTTATAAGCTTGCTATAAACTTCACAGATGACTGAACTAACCTCTTGCGAGTGAGTCCTGCGGTCATGCCCAGGTCAGTGCTCAGCTCCTGGTCTGTGATGTTCAGCAGTAGGTCACCATCCACCTGCAGCTCCTGAAGGATGGGCAGAGAGAGGAGAGAGAAAGACTGAGTGAATATAGTGAGCATGAGGCTAAGGAGAAATGCAGGTAACTGCCAAAACAAAGGAAACACCAACATAAAGTGTCTTAATAGGGCGTTGGGCCACCATGAGCCAGAACAGCTTCAATGCACCTTGGCATAGATTCTACAAGTGTCTGGAACTCTATTGGAGGGATGCAACACCATTCTTCCATGAGAAATTCCATCATTTGGTGTTTTGTTGATGGTGGTAGAAAACGCTGTCTCAGGCGCCACTCCAGAATCTCCCAGAAGTGTTTAATTGGATTGAGATCTGATGACTGAAACGGCCATGGCATATGGTTTACATTGTTTTCATGCTCATCAAACCATTCAGTGACCACTCGTGTCCTGTGGATGGGGGCATTGTCATCCTATGGGGGCATAGCCATGGTAGACAAAATAATGGCCAAAATAATGGCCTGCTCAGCATTTTTATACATATCCCTAAGCATGATGATATGTTAATTGCTTAATTAACTCAGGAACCACATCTGCGTGAAAGCACCTGCTTTCAATGTACTTTGTATCCCTCATTTACTCAAGTGTTTCCATTATTTTGGCAGTTACCTGTAGGTATCCATATCTAATAGATATGAAACCAAACATTCACCTTATTTTGTCACCATCTCTACAAGGACTATAGAAAATAATTCTCATTGTTTATTGTTCAAATCTTGTCTTTTGCTATCACTATCTCTAGTTCTCTTTCTCTCTCTCACACACACACACACACACACACACACACACACAAACACACACACACACACTGAGACACAGAAACACACACCTGGAAGCGCTCAGTGTAAGCGCTGAATCCAATCACTTGGAGCCATCTCTGCACCTCACCGCCCTTCCAGTTGGGCACGGAGGAGAGGATACGTCGTGGCACCTCCTCCCCCATCATCCCCAGTGCCCGCTTGGCAAGGGCACAGGCCATCCCGTTGCTGGAGTACATGACAATCCTTTTCAGACTCTGCACCGCACCTATCTCCTGGAAGATCTGGGAGGAAGAATGTACACACATTCAATTGTATGTCCATTGATATTGTAGGGTTGGTGATTTTAATGTAGGAACATTTTAATAATTTTACCTAATTTCTACCGGTATGTCACCTGTGCAACTAGAGGCAACATTTACGACATTTATGATCACATTTACTCCACACACAGAAACACATACAAGGCTCTCCCTCGCCCTCCCTTTGGCAAATCTGACCATAAATCTATCCTCCTGATTCCTGCTTACAAGCAAAAACTAAAACAGGAAGTAACAGTGACGCGCTCAATACAGAAGTGGTCCAATGAAGCGGATGCTAAGCTACGGGACTGTTTCGCTAGCACAGAATGGAATATGTTCCGGGATTCATCCGATAACATTGAGGAGTTTACCACATCAGTCACCGGCTTCATTAATAAGTGCATCCCCACAGTGACCGTACGTACATATCCCAACCAAAAGCCATGGATTACAGGCAACATTCGCACTGAGCTATAGGCTAGAGCTGCTGCTTTCAAGGAGCAGGATACTAATCTGGATGTTTATAAGAAATCCCGCTATGACCTCCAACGAGCCATCAAACAGGCAAAGCGTCAATACAGGACTAAGCTCAAATCCTAATGCACTGGCTCTAACACTCGTCAGATGTGGCAGGGCTTGCAAACTATTACGGATTACAAAGGGAAACCCAGCCGTGAGCTGCCCAGTGACGAGAGCCTACCAGATGAGCTAAATGCTATGCTGACTTCGAGGCAAGTAACACTGAACCATGCATGAGAGCACCAGCAGTTCCAAACGACTGTGTGATATCGCTCTCCGTAGCCGATGTAAGACCTTTAAACAGGTTAACATTCACAAGGCCGCGGGGCCAGATACCAGGACATGCACTAAGAGCATGTGCTGACCAGCTGGCGGGTGTCGTCACTGACATTTTCAACCTCTCCCTGACCCAGTCTGTAATACATTTACATTTTAGTCATTTAGCAGACGCTCTTATCCAGAGCGACTTACAGTTATTGAGTGCATACATATTCATACCTACATGTTTCAAGCAGACCACCGTAGTCCCTGTGCCCAAGAACGCCAAGGTAACCTGTCTAAATGTCTATCGCCCGTAGCACTCACATCATTAGCCATGAAATACTTTAAAAGGTTGGTCATGGCTCACATCAACGCCATCATCCCAGACACCCTGGACCCACTCCAAATTGCATACCGCCTCAATAGATCCACAGATGACGCAATCTCTATTGCACTCCACACTGCCCTCTCCCACCTGGACAAGAGGAACACAGTTGGTAGAGCATGGCGTTTGCAACGCCAGGGTTGTGGGTTCGATTCCCACGGGGGGCCAGTATAAAAATAAATAATGTATGCACTCACTAACTGTAAGTCGCTCTGGATAAGAGCGTCTGCTAAATGACGTAAATGTAAATGTAAATGTATGTGAGAATGCTGTTCATTGACTACAGCTCAGCGTTCAACACTATAGTGCCCTCTAAGCTTATCACTAAGCTCAGGACCCTGGGACTGAACACCTCCCTCTGCAACTGGATCCTGGACTTCCTGATGGGCCACCCACAGGTGGTGAGGGTAGGCAACAACACATCCGCCATGCTGTCCCCTCCTGTACTCCCTGTTCACCCACGACTGCGTGGCTGGGCACGACTCCAACACCATCATTAAGTTTGCTGACGACACGACAGTGGTAGGCCTGATCCCCAACGACGATGAGACCACCTATAGAGAGGAGGTCACAGATCTGGCAGTGTGGTGCCAGGACAACAACCTCTCCCTCAATGTCAGCAAGACAAAGGAGCTGATCGTGGACTACAGGAAACGGCGGGCCGAGCACGCCTCCATCCACATTATCGGTGCCATAGTGGACGGGTCGAGAGCTTCAAGTTCCTCGTGTCCACATCACTAAGGAATTAACATGGTCTACACATACCAACACAGTCATGAAGAAGGCATGACAATGCCTCTTCCCCTTCGGAAGGCTGAAAAGATTTGGCATGGGCCGTCAGATCCTCAAAAAGTTATACAGCTGCACCATTGAGAGCATCTTGACTGGCTGCATCACCGCTTGGTATGACAACTGCTTGGCATCCAATCGCAAGGCGCTACAGAGGGTAGTGCGTACGGTCCAGTACATCACTAGGGCCGAGCACCCTGCCATCCAGGACCTCTATGCCAGAAGGTGTCAGGCCCTAAAAATTGTCAAAGACTCCAGCCACCCAAGTCATAGACTGTTCTCTCTGCTACCGCACGGCAAGCGGTACCGATGCACCATGTCTGGAACCAACAGGACCCTGAACAGCTTCTAACCCCAAGCCATAAGACTACTAAATAGTTAACCAAATAGCTAACCGGACAATCTGCATTGACCTTTTCTGCACTCTTTTGACTCATTACATATGCTGCTGCTACTGTTTATTATCTATCCTGTAGCCTAGTCACTTTATCCATACCTATATGTACATATCTACCTCAATTACCTCATACCCCTGCACATCGACTCTGTACTGGTACTCCCTGTATATAGCCAAGTTATCGTTACTCATTGTGTATTTATTCCTCGTGTTATTATTTTTCTATATTTTTCTCTCTGCATTGTTGGGAAGTAAGCATTTCATTGTTAGTCTACATCTGGCTTGGTGCGAGGGACAGGAACAGGCCGGACCGGGCTGGCTCCGCCAACCACCCTTTTAGCCCCCCAAAAAATTGTTCTTGGGGCTGTCTCTCGGGCTTCCTCCTCGGCCGGTACCCTCTGTGATGCCGCTGCTCCTCTCTGTAGCGCGCCTCCACAGTCTCCTCCCAAGGACGGCGATCCATTCCGGCCTGAATCTCTTCCCAAGTCCAGGATCCCTTCCCGTCCAGGATCTCCTCCCAAGTCCAGGCTCTGTTCCTGGACACGCTGCTTGGTCCTTTTTTGGTGGGATCTTCTGTCTCGGACGTTGACTGATGACTCGTGGAACCAAGGCACAGCGTGATAAGCGTACATTTTATTTCGTACACAACACACGAACAAAACAACAAAACGATACGTGAAGTCCTGAGGTTACACAACACAAACCTTTACGGAACAAGATCCCACAAACTAACTGGTGCCAACAGGCTGCCTAAGTATGGTCCCCAATCAGAGACAACGAGCTACAGCTGCCTCTGATTGGGAACCACCCTGGCCAACATAGATCTAAACGATCTAGAACAAAAAACATAGAAAACTAAACATAGAAAAATCCACACCCTGGCTCAACATTTAAGAGTCCCCAGAGCCAGGGCGTGACACTAGCACTACACAGCTGATTCAAATAATCAATTAATCATCAAGCTTTGATAATTTGAATCAGCTGTGTAGTGTTAGGGCAAAAATCTAAACGTGCACCCCTTGGGGTCCCAAGGACCAAGTTTGGGAAACTCTGCACTAATGCGTAGTGGTCACCAAACATGGTTGTGACTTGGAGAGCCACAGCGAGGGCGTGCAGGCTTTTGTTCCAGCCCAGCACTAACACGTCTGATTCAGCAAATCAACTGCTTATCAAGGTTGAACCAGGTGTGCTTTTGTTCCCTGATACTGACCTTGGTGTTGCGTTGGCGTGTCTTGATGCTGGTCTCGACACACAAGTAGAAGGCAGCGATACACTTCCCCTCCAGTCTGGCCCCATCCAGTAGTGGCAGGAGCTGCTGTAGGTCGGCAGCCGTCCTCCCCTGCATGCTGTCTGCACTGTCCAGCAAGCTCCGGGCAAACTCATCAGGGTCCAGAGATGCAATAAAGGGCTCCACCAGCTCCAATGTCCCCGACTTCACCACCTATTATAATACATTTAGTAGACACTTTAATACAAGGCAATTTACAGTGTTGTGCGCATACATGTTTTCGTATGGGTGGCCCGAGCAGGAATCAAACCAACCACCCTGGCGTTACAAGCTCCGTGCTCTACTAACTGAGCCACACAGGACCCACCTCCTGCTCGATCTCCCGGTTATTGGCGAGCACGGCCACCGCTAAACACGCATGGAAGCGGATGAGTTCGTCCTCTTTGGAGAACGCCAATGGAAACAACCACTCAGCCGCCTGCTTCTCGATCATCAGCCGCTGGCAGTGATGGCCGCCGTACATGGCGCAGTTGGCGAGTGCCACAGCACAGTGGCGGAGGACGGTGGGGTCGGTACCACGGCACCAGAAGAGCAGGGCATCCAGGGCGCCGTTGGCAATGAGCTGGGTGGATGTCTCCTCAGTGTGTTTGAACATGTGCTCCAGGATGCCTGAGACGCTGCGGGCCAGCTGGGCGTCCTCTGTCTCCCTCGTCAGGTTCAGAATCACCCCCAGACCCATGCGAGCCACATAATCTCTGGATAGGAAGAGAGAGAGAGGTGAAGAGGGTAAACAAAAAGATGAGTATATAACTAGGTTTATAAAGACTAAGACTTATATGGGTCCTGGAAACTGGCCCTAAAGGTTAGGACCAATGCAATATTTTGTATTACAGAAGAAGTGCGTGTAGGCCTGTAGTGAATACACACACCTGTTCTCAGAGACCAGTATCTGCTCCAGTAGTTTGGCAGACTCATAAGTGATCTCCACAGCAGGTGTCATGAGGAGTTGCAGGAGCAGCTCCAGTCCTCCGTCCAGTCGTATCCTGTTGCATATCTCTTCTGCGACCTGCCGGCCCACAGTGGGCAGAACCCAGGCCTCCTCCACTAACTGGAACGTATCTGCGATGGCACTGCGGGTCTCGTCTAGATCCGATGTATCTTTGGCTGATTTCAGTGTCTTGATAGCGGAGCGCAGGGCCGGGAGCGAGGTATCCAAAACATCCTGGACGTCGGCACCGTGGACACCAGGTGAGACCGGTGGTGCTTTCGGTTCCGAGGATGAGCTCGAGCTGCCTGACCTCCGGTTCCCAATCCAGCTGACATATTCCGGTACCGTGAGTCTTTCGGAGCTGAACATGGAGAGGTATCGATAGCGTCTCCAGAGGAAAACGGTTAGAGATAAGAGCATCCACCGCCAATCTCTGACAAGAGGGCTTGTCGCAGGCCCTGATCAATAACAGATTAATGATCAGGCCAGTTTCTCTTGAAAAATAAACGTGTGCGTAATAACCTGGTAATAACTGAATGGGAAACAATGTTTTTTTTTTTAGATACATAAACAAACCACAATAGGTGAAATTACAATCCCATCATCTGAACTGGATGCTAAACTTTAAATTCAAAATGACAGTTTTCATTAAATTGCATCATCATCACACTGATGTCATCTTTGAAAATAAGTGGATAAAGACTCATCTCGCATCATCATGACCAAGCCGTCACACTATGCTTGCATTTAAACACGGATGTCCTCCGTTTTCTCATATCATTTACACAAGGCCTTCTTGGATCAAATTATGTCTACTCAGAATAACCCGACTCCAAATAAATTATCAAGCCTCCACTGTGTCCACTATGAGATAATGTATCAACACTGCGGATGTTTAGAGAACTGCTAGACATGGAAAACAATTGTCTCAAAAAGCCCATTACACATCAAATGACGTTTACCAGCTGGATGGAGAAATATAAACAGCTCTGTTGTCTTCTGTCTCTCGGCTTGTTATGCTTTAATCCATTACAAATATATATTATTTAGGCTACGTATTCTTAAAATAGCCTCTCTCCTTAACATCCTTACATCAGCATCCTCGAGCGTCCTCGAAGCTAGGACCGCCCATTGCCTTCAGGATATATTTACAGACAGACATGTCATGCCGAGGGCAACAAAGCACCAGTATGGTGCTCATCTCCACTATGCCCCCTTGTGGATTACGGTAGAAGCATAATCAATCCATTTACATTTACATTTTTAGTCATTTAGCAGACGCTCTTATCCAGAGCGACTTACAGGAGCAATTAGGGTTAAGTGCCTTGCTCAAGGGCACATCGACAGATTTTTCACCTAGTCGGCTCGGGGATTAGAGCCAGCGACCTTTCGGTTACTGGCACAACGCTCTTACCCACTAAGCTACCTGCCGTAAGGTGGCGCACACATCAACTGTGCTAAATAGGTTATTATGGAGCTACAATAAGATAAAACAGTGCACATCAATTGCTACACTATATGACCAAAAGTATGTGGACACCTGCTCGTCGAACATCTCATTCCAAAATCATGAGCATTAATATAGAGTTGGTTCCCCCTTTGCTGCTATAACAGCCTCCATTCTTCTGGGAAGGCTTTTCTATAGATGTTAGAACACTACTGAGGGGACTTGCTTCCATTCAGCCACAAGAGCATTAGTGAGGTAGGGCACTGATGTTGGGCGATTAGGCCTGGCTCGCAGTCGGCGTTCCAATTCATCCCAAAGGTGTTTGATGGGGTTGAGGTCAGGGCTCTGTGCAGGCCAGTCAAGTTCTTCCACACCGATCTTGACAAACCATTTCTGTATGGACCTCGCTTTGTGCACGGGGGCATTGTCATGCTGAAACAGGAAAGGGCCTTCCCCAAACTGTTGCCACAAAGTTGGAAGCACAGAATCGTCTAATGTCATTGTATGCTGTAACGTTAAGATTTCCCTTCAATTAAAATAAGGGGCCTAGCCTGAACCATGAAAAACAGCCCTGGACCATTATTCCTCCTCCACCAAACTTTACAGTTGTCACTATGCATTCGGGCAGGTAGCGTTCTCCTGGCATCTGCCAAACCCAGATTTGTCTGTCGGACTGCCAGATGGTGAAGAGTGATTTATCACTCTAGAGAACGCGTTTACACTGCTGGTGGCGAGCTTTACACCACTCCAGCCGACGCTTGAAATTGCGCATGGTGATCTTAGGCTTGTGTGTGTGGCTGCTCAGCCATGGAAACCCATTTCATGAAGCTCCCGACTAATAGTTTTGTGCTGACATTGCTTCCAGAGGCAGTTTGGGACTTGGTAGTGAGTGTTGCAACCGAGGACAGGCGATTTTTACACGCTACGCGCTTCAACACTCGGTGGTCCAGTTCTACTGGGCTTGTGTTTTTCTACCACTTCTTGCTCCTAGACATTTCCACTTCACAATAACAGCACTTACAGTTGACCGGGGCAGCACTAGCAGGGCAGAAATTTGACAAACTGACTTGTTGGAAAGGTGGCATCCTATGACGGTGCCACGTTGAAAGTCACTGAGCTCTTCAGTAAGGCCATTCTACTGCCAATGTTTGTCTATGAAGATTGCATGGCTGTGTGCTCGATTTTATACACCTATCAGCAAGGATGTGGCTGAAATAGCCGAATCCACTCATTTGAAGGGGTGTCCACATACTTTTGTATATACAGTATATATCAGCAGAAACAAATAACAATATTTTGTCCATTATAGTCATTAGGCCTTTTACTATTGTTTAAAGGGGCAATCTGCAACTTTTTAATTCATGATATAGGCTAAGTATTCATACCCCTAAACCTATTCCACATTTTGTTGTGTTACAGCCTGAATTCAAAATGGATTAAATGGAAAAAAATTCTCACCCATCTACACACAATACCCCCATAATGACAAAGTAAAAACATGTTTTTAGCAATTTTAGCAAATTTATTGAAAATTAAATACAGAAATATCTCATTTACATAAGTATTCACACCACTGAGTTAATACTTTGTAGAAGCACCTTTGGCAGCGATTACAGCTGTGAGTCTTTCTGGGTAAGTCTCTAAGAGCTTTCCACACCTGGATTGTGCAACATGTGCCCATTATTCTTTTCAAAATTCTTCAAGCTCTGTCAAATTTTTCAAGCAGATTTAAGTCAAAACTGTAACTCGGCCGCTCAGGAACATTCACTGTCTTCTTGGTAAGCAACTCCAGCGTAGATTTGCCCTAGTGTTTTAGGTTATTGTCCTGCTGAAAGGGGAATTCATCTCCCAGTGTCTGGTGGAAAGCAGATGCAACCAGGTTTTCCTCTAGGATTTTGCCTGTGCTTAGCTCCATTCTGTTTATTTTTTATCCTGAAAAACTCTCCAATCCTTAACGATTACAAGCATACCTACAGTTGAAGTCGGAAGTTTACATACACCTTAGCCAAATACATTTAAAATCAGTTTTTCACAATTCCTGACATTTAATCCTAGTAAATATTCCCTGTCTTAGGTCAGTTAGGATCACCACTTTATTTTAAGAATGTGAAATGTCAGAATAATAGTAGAGAGAATGATTTCAAGACAAAGGAGATGATTGTGGACTACAGGAAAAAAAAGAAGACTGAGCACGCCCCTATTCTCATCGACGGGGCTGTAGTGGAACAGGTTGAGAGCTTCAAGTTCCTTGGTGTCCACATCACCAACAAACTATCATGGTCCAAATACACCAAGACAGTCATGAAGAGGGCACGACAAAGCCTACTCCCCCTCAGGATACTGAAAAGATTTGGCATGGGTCCTCAGATCCTCAAAAAATTCTACAGCTGCACCATCGAGAGCATCCTGACTGGTTGCATCACCGCCTGGTATGGCAACTGCTTGGCCTCCGACCGTAAGGCAATACAGAGGGTTGTGCGTACGGCCCAGTACATCACTGGGGCCAAGCTTCCTGCCATCCAGGACCTCTATACCAGGCGGTGTCAGAGGAAGGCCCTCAAAATTGTCAAAGACTCCAGCCACCCTAGTCATAGACTGTTCTCTCTGCTACCGCACGGCAAGCGGTACCGGAGTGCCAAGTCTAGATCCAAAAGACTTCTCAACAATTTCTACCCCCAAGCCATAAGACTCCTAAACAGCTAATCATGGCTACCCGGACTATTTGCACTGCCCCCCACCCCACCCCATCTTTTTACGCTGCTGCTACTCTGTCAATTATTTATGCATAGTCACTTTAACTCTACCCACATATACATATTACTTCAACTACCTCAATTAGCCTGTGCCCCCGCACATTGACTCTGCACCGGTACCCCCCTGTATATATAGCCTCCCTACTGTTATTTTATTTTACTTCTGCTCTTTTTTTCTCAACACTTTTATGTTTTATCCTAATCTTTTATTAAAAATAAATGCACTGTTGGTTAAGGGCTGTAAGTAAGCATTTCACTGTAATGTCTGCACCTGTTGTATTCGGCGCATGTGGCCAATAAAATTTGATTTGATTTGATTTGATTTATTTCAGCTTTTATTTCTTTCATCACATTCCCAGTGGGTCAGAAGTTTACATACACTCAATTAGTATTTGGTAGCATTGCCTTTCAATTGTTTAACTTGGGTCAAACGTTTCGGGTAGCCTTCCACAAGCTTCCCACAATAAGTTGGGTGAATTTTGGCCCATTCCTCCTGACAGAGCTGGTGTAACTGAGTCAGGTTGGTAGGCCTCCTTGCTCGCAAACACTTTTCCAGTTCTGCCCACAGATTTTCTATAGGATTGAGGTCAGGGCTTTGTGATGGCCACTCCAATACCTTGACTTTGTTGTCCTTAAGCCATTTTGCCACAACTTTGGAGTATGCTTGGGGTCATTGTCCATTTGGAAGACCCATTTGCGACCAAGCTTTAACTTCCTGACTGATGTCTTGAGATGTTGCTTCAATTTATCTACATAATTTTCTTTCCTCATGATGCCATCTATTTTGTGAAGTGCACCAGTCCCTCCTGCAGCAAAGCACCCCCACGGCATGATGCTGCCACCCCCATGCTTCACGGTTGGGATGGTGTTCTTCGGCTTGCAAGCAACCCCCTTTTTCCTCCAAACATAACGATGGTCATTATGGCCAAACAGTTCTATTTTTGTTTCATCAGACCAGAGGACATTTCTCCAAAAAGTACGATCTTTGTCCCCATGTGCAGTTGCAAACCGTAGTCTGGCTTTTTTATGGCGGTTTTGGAGCAGTGGCTTCTTCCTCGCTGAGCGGCCTCATTTTACTGTGGATATAGATACTTTTGTACCTGTTTCCGCCAGCATCTTCACAAGGTCCTTTGCTGTTGTTCTGGGATTGATTTGTACTTTCCGCACCAAAGTACGTTCATCTCTAGGAGACAGAACGCATCTCCTTCCTGAGCGGTATGACGGCTGCGTGGTCCCATGGTGTTTATACTTGCGTACTATTGTTTGTACAGATGAACGTGGTACCTTCAGGCGTTTGGAAATTGCTCCCAAGGATGAACCAGTCTTGGCTGATTTCTTTTGATTTCCCCATGATGTCAAGCAAAGTTTTGAAGGTAGGCCTTGAAATACATCCACAGGTACACCTCCAATTGACTCAAATTATGTCAATTAGCCTATCAGAAGCTTCTAAAGACATGACATCATTTTCTGGAATTTTCCAAGCTGTTTAAAGGCACAGTCAACTTAGTGTATGTAAACTTCTGACCCACTGGAATTGTGATACAGTAAATTATAAGTGAATTAATCTGTCTGTAAACAATTGTTTGAAAAATTACTTGTGTCATGCACAAAGTAGATGTCCTAACCGACTTGCCAAAACTATAGTTTGTTAACAAGAAATTTGTGGAGTGGTTGAAAAACGAGTTTTAATGACTCCAACCTAAGTGTATGTAAACCTCCAACTTCAACTGTATAACATGATGCAGCCACCACTATGCTTGAAAAAATGGAGAGTGGTACTCAGTAATGTGTTGTATTGGATTTGCCCCAAACATAACACTTTGTAATCAGGACAAAAAGTGAATTGCTTTGCCACATTTTTTGCAGTATTACTTTAATGCTTTGTTGCAAACAGGATGCATGTTTTTGAATATTTCTTATACTGTACAGACTTCCCTCTTTTGGTTAGTATTGTGGAGTAACTACAATGTTGTTGATCCATCCTCAGTTTTCTCCTATCACAGGCATTCAACTTTGTAACTTTTTTAAAGTCAACATTGGCTTCATGGTGAAATCCCTGAGAGGTTTCCTTCCTCTCCGGCAACTGAGTTAGGAAGGACGCCTGTATCTTTGTAGTGACTGGGTGTATTGATACACCATCCAAAGTGTAATTAATAATTTCACCATGCTCAAAGGGATATTCAATGTCTGCTTTAAAAAATGTTTTACCCATCTACCAATAGGTGCCCTTCTTTGTGAGGCATTGGAAAACCTCCCTGGTCTTTGTGGTTGAATCTGTTTCATAAGTTCTTTACATGGTAAAAGCTAACTTACCAACATTTTTGAAAATTGATATAAAGGATTTTGGAATGAAACTATTTACTGATTGCTTCAACAAAAACAAGGTTCAAATAAGGTTAAAACAAGGTTTAAGTAAACATGCTGTAGAGGTGAATGACACTGGTAGCCACTGCATTGCATTGATCATTGATTAGTAGCACACAGTTCTCTATCCCCTGGGTCCTCTCAGTCACACAGCCAGAGAGACGCAGAGAGACAGACAGCATGAGGCTCGGGTTGATACTCCTGCTAGCCGGGCTAGCTACTGTGTTTGCTGCAGAGGGTATGTATACCATTAAAAAACATATAATCTAGGTTGACTTGAAAATGTAGTGGTGACATTTTGGTTGAAGTTTGACTGAGTTGTTACTGGTGAAAGAGAACTCAAGAATTTCAAGATACAGCATTTGGAAACTCAGTTAGAGACAGTATATTGGAGTTGGTGGCAGTATTCCCAAACATTTTTGCTGTTCCATGGTCATTTATAAGTTACCTCTCTGTGCTGTCCTTGTGTGTCAGAGTCATGCATGGACCGCTGTGAGAATGGCTTCGACTCCAAGAAGAATTGCCAGTGTGACACCATGTGTCGGTACTACAAGAGCTGCTGCTCAGACTATGAGACCGCCTGTCGTATGAAAAGTAAGAAGAGAGAGTGTGTGTGTGTGTGTGTGTGTGTGTGTGTGTGTGTGTGTGTGTGTGTGCGTATATTGATTGTTACAAAAGTTACAGATTTCCCTTTTAACAACCTCTAAAGGTCATATTGAATAATGCACCACTGATTAACATGGTGATGAGTTGCATATGTTCAACATTCACATCATATTGTGCTTATAATTCATTGTGTGATTCATCTAATGTGACCTCTGTTTCCTTTAGCACGTGGGGACACCTTTGAATTTGCAGAGGATGATTATGGTCCAGTTGCCCCTACAACGCCCGTCTCCCCGACCAAACCTGAAGACCAGCTCCTCATGGGGCCAACGTAGGCAACCCACACACTTCAGAACACCCAATACCACCCCTACTCCTACCACAATTGCCACAAAGACAACCCCAGTCACAGAGCCAGCTAGAGGCGCAGCTCGAGGCCCACAGAGAGGCCAGGTCCCAGTGGTAGTCCCACTCTCGTAGGCAGCTAAAGCCACCAAAGCAGCATTAGCCACACATGCAGGTAGAGGCTCAGATAGAGGCCCACAGAGAGGCCAGGTCCCAGTGGAAGTCCCACTCCCGGAGACAGCTAAAGCCACAGACGCACCATCAGTCCCACAGGCACTCTCAATCCAACAGAAAATCTCAGTCTCCCAGAAAGCAACAGTAACAGAACCAGTCACAACAGAAGCTCCAGTCACAACAGCGGAAGTGGATACAACCACAGAGGAAGTGAAGACAACCACAGAGGAAGTGGAGACAACCACAGAGGAAGTGGTGACGGCCACCAAGGCTCCGGTAGTAGAACCAAATGCTGAGTCATGCAGCGGCAGGCCCTGGGACTCCCTCATGCAGCTCAAGAATGGCTCTGTCTACGCCTTCAGAGGTAAGGGACTTCATGGGTCTTACCCCATCACCTTCAGGGGTATGGGTCTTCATGGGTCTTACCCCATCACCTTCAGAGGTAAGGGTCTTCATGGGTCTTACTCCGTCACCTTCAGAGGTAAGGGTCTTCATGGGTCTTACCCCATCACCTTCAGAGGTAAGGGTCTTCATGGGTCTTACCCTGTCACCTTCAGAGGTAAGGGTCTTCATGGGTCTTACTCCGTCACCTTCAGAGGTAAGGGTCTTCATGGGTCTTACCCCGTCACCTTCAGGGGTAAGGGTCTTCATGGGTCTTACCCCATCACCTTCAGAGGTAAGGGTCTTCATGGGTCTTACCCCGTCACCTTCAGAGGTAAGGGTCTTCATGGGTCTTACCACGTCAGCTTCAGAGGTAAGGGTCTTCATGGGTCTTACTCTGTCACCTTCAGAGGTAAGGGTCTTCATGGTTCTTACCCCGTCACCTTCAGGGGTAAGGGTCTTCATGGGTCTTACCCCGTCACCTTCATAGGTAAGGGTCTTCATGGGTCTTACTCCGTCACCTTCAGAGGTAAGGGTCTTCATGGGTCTTACCCCGTCAGCTTCAGAGGTAAGGGTCTTCATGGGTCTTACCCCGTCACCTTCAGAGGTAAGGGTCTTACATTTACATTTACATTTACGTCATTTAGCAGACGCTCTTATCCAGAGCGACTTACAGTTAGTGAATACATATATATATTTTTTTTTATACTGGCCCCCCGTGGGAATCGAACCCACAACCCTGGCGTTGCAAACGCCATGCTCTCTCAACTGAGCTACATCCCATCTTCATGGGTCTTACCCCGTCAGCTTCAGAGGTAAGGGTCTTCATGGGTCTTACCCCGTCACCTTTATAGGTGTGAAGGGAGTCATTGGGTCAGAGAAAAACACAAGGAGAGGTTCTGTTGATCTGTATCTCTATGTATGTGTTTGTTTTGGGTCCTCTCCTAGTGGAGTGGTTCTTTGAGCTGGATGAGTAGTCGGTGATGCCCGGCTACCCCAAACTGATCCAGGACATCTGGGGTATCAGAGGACCTATAGATGCTGCCTTCACACGTATCAACTGCCAGGGCAAGACATACCCACATGTTCAAGGTGGGATGAATACCCTGGCTAGAGAGGGTAGACTAAAGATGAAATGTTGGTAGGATGGTAGAAGGTTGGTAGATGGAAATGATATATCTAGCTGTTTGTATTTATTGTACATTTTATAAATGTAATACATTTGTTATAAATTGCCAACTTCACAGATATACATTACATTTATCCATTCCAAATACACTTTCAGTCAAAAGTTTGGACACACCTACTCATTCAAGGGTTTTTCTTTATGTTTACATTTTTTACATTGTAGAATAATAGTGAAGACATCAGAACCATGAAATAACACATATGGAATCATGTAGTAACCAAAAAGGTGTTAAACTAATTTTATATTTGAGATTCTTCAAATAGCCACCCTTTGCCTTGATGACAGCTTTGCACACTCTTGGCATTCTCTCAACCAGCTTCATGAGGTAGTCACCTGAAATGCATTTCAATTAACAGATGAGCCTTCTTAAAAGTTAATTTGTGGAATTTATGTATTTCGTAATGGGTTTGAGCCAATCAGTTGTGTTGTGACAAGGTAGGGGGGGTATACAGAAGATAGCCCTATTTGGTAAAAGACCAAGTCCATATTATCGCAAGAACAGCTCAAATAAGCAAAGTGAAATGACAGTCCATCATTACTTTAAGACAAGAAGGTCAGTCAATATGGAACATTTCAAGAACTTTGAAAGTTTCTTCAAGTGCAGTCGCAAAAACCATCAAGCGCTATGATGAAACTGGCTCTCATGAGGACCGCCACAGGAATGGAAGACCCAGAGTTACCTCTGCAGCAGAGAATAAGTTCATTAGAGTTACCAGCCTCAGAAATTGCAGCCCAAATAAATGCTTCACAGAGTTCAAGTAACAGACACATCTCAACATCAACTGTTCAGAGGAGACTGTGTGAATCAGGCCTTCATGGTCAAATTGCTGCAAAGAAACCACTACTAAAGGACACCAATAAGAAGAAGAGACCTGCTTGGGCCAAGAAACACGAGCAATGGACATTAGATCGGTGGAAATTTGTCCTTTGGTCTGGAGTCCAAATTTGAGATTATTGGTTCAAACCGCTGTGTCTTTGTGAGAACGGATGATCTCCACATGTGTAGTTCCCACCGTAAAGCATGGAGGAGTAGGTGTTATGGTGTGGGGCTGCTTTGCTGGTGACACTGTCTGTGATTTATTTAGAATTCAAGGCACACTTAACCAGCATGGCTACCACAGCATTCTGCAGTGATACGCCGTCCCTTCTGGTTTGGGTTTAGTGGGACTATCATTTGTTTTTCAACAGGACAATGACCCAACACACCTCCAGGCTGTGTAAGGGCTATTTCACCAAGAAGGAGAGTGATGGAGTGCTGCATCAGATGACCTGGCATCCATAATCCCCCGACCTCAACCCAATTAAGATGGTTTGGGATGAGTCAGACAGTAGAGTGAAGGAAAAGCAGCCAACAAGTGCTCAGCAAATGTGGGAACTCCTTCAAGACTGTTGGAAAAGCATTCCAGGTGAAGCTGGTTGAGAGAATGCCAAGAGTGTGCAAAGCTGTCATCAAGACAAAGGGTGGCTATTTGTTTAACACTTTTTTGGTTACTACATGATTCCATATGTGTTATTTCATAGTTTTGATGTCTTCACTATTATTCTACAATGTAAAAAATAGTAAAAATAAAGGAAAACCCTTGAATGAGTAGGTGTGTCCAAACATTTGACATGTACGGTATATCTTTTTTAAATTGCAAATCCTCCAACAGGGGAACAAGTACTGGCGGTTTGATGATGGTGTGCTGGAGGAGGACTATCCCAGGGATATCAATGTGGGCTTTGAGAAGATACCAGACGGCGTGAACGCAGCCTTCGCCATAGCAGCCCCTGGACACCACGCCAAAGAGAAGGTCTACTTCTTCAAAGGTCACACCAAATCTTAAATGAAGAACATTAGTTGATAACTAAAAAATAAAAATAACAAATAATTAAAGACCAGCAGTAAAATAACAGTAGCTAGGCAATATACAGGGGCTACCGGTACAGAGTCAATGTGCGGGGGCACAGGTTAGTCGAGGTAATGGAGGTAATATGTACATGTAGGTAGAGTTAAAGTGACTATGCATAGATAATATACAAAAGCTGAAGAACATAGGCACATCCAGGTACTTTCCGCAGGTGCTGGAGTTATAGGTAAATTCATGAAAAACAGAAAGGAAGACGCTGTACACTGCTGCTCATACTCCCAGGTGATATTTATTTATAACAACGTTTCAACCCTTAGGTCTTCATCAGGCATCCATATCCCAGGTGGGGGTGGAAGGTCATATATAGGGGCAGTACTCAGTGACATCACTTCCTGAAACAGGAGGTAAAAAATGTATAATATAGGTTCACAATATTAACATTCAATGTATCAAAATATATGATCATATACAGTGGGGGAAAAAAAGTATTTAGTCAGCCACCAATTGTGCAAGTTCTCCCACTTAAAAAGATGAGAAAGGCCTGTAATTTTCATCATAGGTACACGTCAACTATGACAGACAAAATGAGAAAGAAAAATCCAGAATATCACATTGTAGGATTTTTAATGAATTTATTTGCAAATTATGGTGGAAAATAAGTATTTGGTCAATAACAAAAGTTTCTCAATACTTTGTTATATACCCTTTGTTGGCAATGACACAGGTCAAACGTTTTCTGTAAGTCTTCACAAGGTTTTCACACACTGTTGCTGGTATTTTGGCCCATTCCTCCATGCAGATCTCCTCTAGAGCAGTGATGTTTTGGGGCTGTCGCTGGGCAACACGGACTTTCAACTCCCTCCAAAGATTTTCTATGGGGTTGAGATCTGGAGACTGGCTAGGCCACTCCAGGACCTTGAAATGCTTCTTACGAAGCCACTCCTTCCTTGCCCGGGCGGTGTGTTTGGGATCATTGTCATGCTGAAAGACCCAGCCACGTTTCATCTTCAATGCCCTTGCTGATGGAAGGAGGTTTTCACTCAAAATCTCACGATACATGGCCCCATTCATTCTTTCCTTTACACGGATCAGTCGTCCTGGTCCCTTTGCAGAAAAACTGCCCCAAAGCATGATGTTTCCACCCCCAAGTTACAGGTCTGTGAGAGCCAGAAATCTTGCTTGTTTGTACGTGACCAAATACTTTTTTTCCACCATAATTTGCAAATAAATTCATAAAAAATCCTACAATGTGATTTTCTGGATTTTTTTCCTCATTTTGTCTGTCATAGTTGACGTGTACCTATGATGAAAATTACAGGCCTCTCTCATCTTTTTAAGTGGGAGAACTTGCACAATTGGTGGCTGACTAAATACTTTTTTTCCCCACTGTATATACCCCACTGTACAAGGAATGTGATCAATATTTACAGTAATATGCATACAATATTCATACAATGTTCAATTAGGATAAAAAAACACAATTTGGACATATTGAAACTATAAAAACGGTTTCAAGTTAGTCCGTGTAGCCATTTGATTAGCTGTTCAGGAGTCTTATGGCTTGGGGGTAGAAGCTGTTAAGAAGCCTTTTGGACCTAGACTTGGCGCTCCGGTACCGCTTGCCGTGTGGTAGCAGAGAGAACAGTCTATGACTAGGGTGGCTGGAGTCTTGACAATTTTTAGGGCCTTCCTCTGACACCGCCTGGTATAGAGGTCCTGGATGGCAGGAAGCTTGGCCCCAGTGATGTACTGGGCCGTACGCACTACCTTCTGTAGCGCCTTGTGGTCGGAGGCTGAGCAGTTGCCATACCAGGCAGTGATGCAACCAGTCAGGATGCTCTCGATGGGGCAGCTGTAGAACATCTTGAGGATCTGAGGACCTATGCCAAATCTTTTCAGTCTCCTGAGGGGGAATAGGTTTGTCGTGCCCTCTTCACGACTGTCTTGGTGTGTTTGGACCATGATAGTTTGTTGGTGATGTGGACACCAAGGAACTTGAAGCGCTCAACCTGCTCCACTACAGCCCAGTTGATGAGAATGCGGGCATGCTCGGTCCTCTTTTTCCAGTAGCCCACAATCATCTCCTTTGTCTTGATCACGTTGAGGGAGAGATTGTTATCCTAGCACCACACAGCCAGGTCTCTGACCTCCTCCCTATAGGCTGTCTCATCGTTGTCGGTGATCAGGCCTACCACTGTCGTCGGGAAACTTAATGATGGTGTTGGAGTGCCTGGCCATGCAGTCATGGGTGAACAGGGAGTACAAGAGGGGACTGAGCACGCACCCCTGAGGGGCCCCCGTGTTTAGGATCAGCATGGCAGATGTGTTGTTACCTACCCTTACCACCTGGGAGCGGCCCGCCAGGAAGTCCAGGATCCAGTTGCAGAGGGAGGTGTTTAGTCCCAGGGTCCTTAGCTTAGTGATGAGCTTTGAGGGCAATATGGTGTTGAACGCTGAGCTGTAGTCAATGAATAACATTCTCACGTAGGTGTTCCTTTTGTCCAGGTGGGAAAGGGCAGTGTGGAGTGCAATAGAGATTGCACATCTGTGGATCTGTTGGGGTGGTATGCAAATTGGAGTAGGTCTAGGGTTTCTGGGATAATGGTGTTGATGTGAGCCATGACCAGCCTTTCAAAGCCTTCATGACCAGCCTTCACGGCTACAGACGTGAGTGCTACGGGTCGGTAGTCATTTAAGCAGGTTACCTTAGTATTCTTGGGCACAGGGACTATGGTGGTCTGCTTGAAACATGTTGGTATTACAGACTCAGTCAGGGACAGGTTGAAAATGTCAGTGAAGACACTAGCTAGTTGGTCAGCACATGCTCGGAGTACATGTCCTGGTAATCCGTCTGGCCCTGCGGCCTTGTGAATGTTGACCTGTTTAAAGGTCTTACTCACATCAGCTATGGAGAGCGTGATCACACAGTCGTCCGGAACAGCTGATGCTCTCATGCATGCTTCAGTGTTGCTTGCCTCGAAGTGAGCATATAAGTAATTTAGCTCGTCTGGTAGGCTCGTGTCACTGGGCAGCTTGCAGCTGTGCTTCCCTTTGTAGTCTGTAAAAGCTTGCAAGCCCTGCCACATCTGACGAGCGTTGGAGCCGGTGTAGTATGATTCAATCTTAATCCTGTATTGACGCGTTGCCTGTTTGATTGTTCGTCGGAGGGCAAACAGGATTTCTTATAAGCGTCTGGGTTAGAGTCCCGCTCCTTGAAAGCGGCAGCTCTACCCTTTAGCTCAGTGCGTATGTTGCCTGTAATCCATGGCTTCTGGTTGGGGTATGTACATACGGTCACTGTGGGGACAACTTCATCGATGCACTTATTGATGAAGCCAGTGACTGATGTGGTGTACTCCTCAATGCCATCAGAAGAATCCCGGAACATATTCCAGTCTGTGCTAGCAAAACAGTCCTGTAGCTTAGCATTCGCGTCATCTGACCACTTCTTTATTGACCGAGTACCTGGTGCTTCCTGCTTTAGTTTTTGCTTGTAAGCAAGAATCAGGAGGATATAGTTATGGTCAGATTTGCCAAATGCAGGGCGAGGGAGAGCTTTGTACGCATCTCTGTGTGTGGAGTAAAGGTGGTCTAGAGTATTATTTTCCTTTGGTTGCACATTTAACATGCTGGTAGAAATGAGGTAAAAACTGATTTAAGTTTCCCTGCATTAAAGTCTCCGGCCACTAGGAGCGGTGCCTCTGGATGAGCGTTTTCCTGTTTGCTTAAGGCCTTGTACAGCTCATTGAGTGTGATCTTAGTGCCAGCATCGGTTTGTGGTGGTAAATAGACAGCTATCAAAAATATAGATGAAAACTCTCTTGGTAAATAGTGTGTCTACAGCTTATCATGAGATACTCTACCTCAGGCGAGCAAAACCTTGAGACTTCCTTAATATTAGATTTCGTGCACCAGCTGTTGTTTACAAATATACACAGACCGCCACCCCTTGTCTTACCGGAGGCAGCTGTTCTATCTTGCCGATGCAGCATATATCCCGCCAGCTGAATGTTATCCATGTCGTCGTTCAGCCACGACTCGGTGAAACATAAGATATTACAGTTTTTAATGTCCTATTGGTAGGATATCCGTGATCATAGTTCATCTATTTTGTTATCCAATGATTGTACATTGGCTAATTGGACTGATGGTAGAGGCAGATTACCCACTCGCCGTCGGATCCTTACTCATGCGAATGACGGGGATTTGGGCCTTGTCAGATGTCTGAAGAAAATCCTTAGTGTCCGACTCGTTAAAGAAAAAATCTTTGTCCAGTAAGAGGTGAGTAATCGCTGTCCTGATATCCAGTAGTTCTTTTCGGTCATAAGGGACAGTGGCAGAAATATTATGTACAAAATAAGTAACAATTAACGCGAAAAAACACACACAATAGCAAAATTGGTTAGGAGCCAGTAAAACGGCAGCCATCTCCTCCGGCGCCATTCTAATCTGTTTTGTTAACAGACCTGTTGTTTGTCTGTGTTCCCAGGTGACCAGTACTACCAGTATGAGTTCAAGCACCAGCCATCACATGAGGAGTGTATCAAGACATCAGCTGGGTCTCCCTCTGCTCTGTTCACAGCCTACACTGACATCTACCACAACAACTGGGAGGAACTCTTCAACATGCTCTTCAGAGGCAGTAAGAGGCTGTAGCTCTTTCTCAATGATCTTTTCTTGTGTCCTCTTTCCATTCCTCCTTCTCAAAACGCATTGGAGAAGAAGATCCAATTCTCTTACCTGCGGACCTTCTCATCCAATGCATATTGAAGAGGTGAAGAAAGAGGATATAAGGAATCATTAATGGCACAATGTTTACTTTAAGAAAATGGTTGCTTAACAAACAAGAATAGTTTTAAAGCTAGGCCCCACCATCTAATCCTACATCTCATCTGTCGTTCTCTCTCCCGCAGTCCCCAACCACCATGGTGGGCATCGGTTCATCAACAAGGACTGGATCGGCATCAAGGCCCCAGTGGACGCTGTTATGACAGGCAGACTCTACATCACCCCCAGGCCACTGGCCGCACCCCTGTCCCCACCTTTACCCCCTTTACGGGACCGCAACGACGGGAGGCGCCAGCCATGGGACCAACAGTGGGGGCAGTATCGCAAACAGTATGGCCAACAGGATCAGCAAAATGGACAGCAATATGGACAACAATATTTACATTTACATTTACGTCATTTAGCAGACGCTCTTATCCAGAGCGACTTACAAATTGGTGCATTCACCTTATAGCCAGTGGGATAACCACTTTACAATGTTTTTTTTTTTTTTTTTTTTTTTTTTTGGGGGGGGGGGGGTGGGTTGGGGTAAGGGAGGGGTAGAAGGATTACTTTATCCTATCCCAGCTATTCCTTAAAGAGGTGGGGTTTCAAATGTCTCCGGAAGGTGGCGTCGTGAGGGAGCTTGTTCCACCATTGGGGTGCCAGAGCAGCGAACAGTTTTGACTGGGCTGAGCGGGAACTATGCTTCCGCAGAGGAAGGGGAGCCAGCAGGCCAGAGGTGGATGAACGCAATGCCCTCGTTTGGGTGTAGGGACTGATCAGAGCCTGAAGGTACGGAGGTGCCGTTCCCCTCACAGCTCCAAAGGCAAGCACCATGGTCTTGTAACAGATGCGAGCTTCAACTGGAAGCCAGTGGAGTGTGCGGAGGAGCGGGGTGACGTGAGAGAACTTGGGAAGGTTGAACACCAGACGGGCTGCGGCATTCTGGATGAGTTGTAGGGGTTTAATGGCACAGGCAGGGAGCCCAGCAAACAGCGAGTTGCAGTAATCCAGACGGGAGATGACAAGTGCCTGGATTAGGACCTGTGCCGCTTCCTGTGTAAGGCAGGGTCGTACTCTCCGAATGTTGTAGAGCATGAACCTGCAGGATCGGGTCACCGCCTTGATGTTAGCGGAGAACGACAGGGTGTTGTCCAGGGTCACGCCAAGGCTCTTCGCACTCTGGGAGGAGGACGCAACGGAGTTGTCAACCGTGATGGCGAGATCATGGAACAGGCAGTCCTTCCCCGGGAGGAAGAGCAGCTCCGTCTTGCCAAGGTTCAGCTTGAGGTGGTGATCCGTCATCCATACTGATATGTCTGCCAGACATGCAGAGATGCGATTCGCCACCTGGTTGTCAGAAGGGGGAAAGGAGAAAATTAGTTGTGTGTCAAAAGCGTAGCAATGATAGGAGAGGCCATGTGAGGATATGACAGAGCCAAGTGACTTGGTGTATAGCGAGAATAGGAGAGGGCCTAGAACTGAGCCCTGGGGGACACCAGTGGTGAGAGCACGTGGTGCGGAGACAGCTTCTCGCCACGCCACTTGGTAGGAGCGACCAGTCAGGTAGGACGCAATCCAAGAGTGAGCCGCGCCGGAGATGCCCAGCTCGGAGAGGGTGGAGAGGAGGATCTGATGGTTCACAGTATCAAAGGCAGCAGACAGGTCTAGAAGGACAAGAGCAGAGGAGAGAGAGTTAGCTTTAGCAGTGCGGAGAGCCTCCGTGACACAGAGAAGAGCAGTCTCAGTTGAATGACCAGTCTTGAAACCTGACTGGTTTGGATCAAGAAGGTCATTCTGAGAGAGATAGCAAGAGAGTTGGCTAAAGACGGCACGCTCAATAGTTTTGGAGAGAAAAGAAAGAAGGGATACTGGTCTGTAGTTGTTGACATCAGAGGGATCGAGTGTTGGTTTTTTGAGAAGGGGTGCAACTCTCGCTCTCTTGAAGACGGAAGGGACATAGCCAGCGGTCAAGGATGAGTTGATCAGCGAGGTGAGGTAGGGGAGAAGGTCACTGGAGATGGTCTGGAGAAGAGAGGAGGGGATAGGGTCAAGTGGGCAGGTTGTTGGGCGGCCTGCAGTCACAAGTCGCAAGATTTTATCTGGAGAGAGAGGGGAGAAAGAAGTCAAAGCATAGGGTAGGGCAGTGTGAGCAGGACCAGCAGTGTCATTTGACTTAACAAACGAGGATCGGATGTCGTCAACCTTCTTTTCAAAGTGGTTGACGAAGTCATCCACAGAGAGGGAGGAGGGGGGGGGGGGGGGAGGATTCAGCAGGGAGGAGAATGTGGCAAAGAGCTTCCTAGGGTTAGAGGCAGATGCTTGGAATTTAGCGTGGTAGAAAGTGGCCTTAGCAGCAGAAACAGATGAAGAAAATGTAGAGAGGAGGGAGTGAAAAGATGCCAGGTCCGCAGGGAGTCTAGTTTTCTTCCATTTCCGCTCAGCTGCCCGGAGCTCTGTTCTGTGAGCTCGCAATGAGTCATCAAGCCACGGAGCTGGAGGGGAGGACCGAGCCGGCCGGGAGGATAGGGGACATAGAGAGTCAAAGGATGCAGAAAGGGAGGAGAGGAGGGTTGAGGAGGCAGAATCAGGAGATTGGAGGGAGAAGGATTGAGCAGAGGGAAGAGATGATAGGATGGAAGAGGAGAGAGTAGCGGGAGAGAGAGAGCGAAGGTTGCGACGGCGCATTACCATCTGTGTAGGGGCAGAGTGAGTAGTGTTGGAGGAGAGCGAGAGAGAAAAGGATACAAAGTAGTGGTCGGAGACATGGAGGGGAGTTGCAGTGAGATTAGTAGAAGAACAGCATCTAATAAAGATGAGGTCAAGCGTATTGCCTGCCTTGTGAGTAGGGGGGGACGGTGAGAGGGTGAGGTCAAAAGAGGAGAGGAGTGGAAAGAAGGAGGCAGAGAGAAATGAGTCAAATGTAGACGTAGGGAGGTTGAAATCCCCCAGAACTGTGAGAGGTGAGCCATCCTCAGGAAAGGAACTTATCAAGGCGTCAAGCTCATTGATGAACTCTCCAAGGGAACCTGGAGGGCGATAGATGACAAGGATATTAAGCTTAAATGGGCTAGTGACTGTGACAGCATGGAATTCAAATGAGGAGATAGACAGATGGGTTAGGGGAAAAATTGAGAATGTCCACTTGGGAGAGATGAGGATTCCTGTGCCACCACCCTGCTGACCAGATGCTCTCGGGGTATGCGAGAACACATGGTCAGACGAGGAGAGAGCAGTGGGAGTAGCAGTGTTTTCAGTGGTAATCCATGTTTCCGTCAGCGCCAAGAAGTCGAGGGACTGGAGGGTAGCATAGGCTGGGATGAAGTCTGCCTTGTTGGCAGCAGAACGGCAGTTCCAGAGGCTGCCTGAGACCTGGAACTCCAGGTGGGTGGTGCGTGCAGGGACCACCAGGTTAGAGAGGCAGCAGCCACGCGGTGTGAGGCGTTTGTGTAGCCTGTGCGGAGAGGAGAGAACAGGGATAGGCAGAGGCATAGTTGACAGGCTGCAGCAAATGGCTACAATAATGCAGAGGAGATCGGAATGAAATGAACTAAACATCTGGGAAAGGAGAGAGCGGGGCCTCCCTCAGCACAACTCCCAAATATAACTCTCCCAACTTCCACCTCAGAAACTATAATTGTTGTAAACTACAGCGGTTCAATGTTTCTAGGAATAGACTAACTCAGTTTATTCAGCTAGCTAACTAGGTGCAGTATTATTCCATGAAAATCGTCCGGGCATCAAGTCATATGACGCCACAGCCAGCTAGCATGCCGGACTCCAGCAACACGGTTTAGCGCCAATACTCTGCCACAACAAACCACCAGTGTATCAACACGCAAGCAGATCGTTCGTGTCCGTGTCTAACGTTGTGGGTTAGTCCCGACAGCTTGAGCGAGTCCGTCGTCAACTTATTCAGCCAGTTAGTTAGCTAGAATAGTTAGCAAACTAGCTAGCCATTGCTTTCAGACAAAGAAGAACCCCTCCTTTCACGGCACGAACACACAGAGAGAGCCAAACTAACGTTAACTAGTCACCCATGTCCCAAATTCCTTGAACGACTCGGGCTATCAATATGTAAAAAACAAAACACAAATGTAGGTTATGACTTACCCCTAGCAGCTACTGTTAGCTAGCCAAGTGCAAAGCTAGCCACTATGGACAACAAGGGCAACAAAATGGACAGCAGTGGGACCAGCAGTGGGGCCGACGCAGAAATAGACACCAGTCTTACTGGGGTGCCGGGACGGAAATGGCTATGGGGCAGGCGTTCGCAGAGAAGTGGATGGATATGGAGAAAGGATTCACTGAGAGGGAGATGGATCTCGGTCGGAATCTGGCGGAGAGGGGGATGGCTATAGAGGGGGTGTTTGGAGGGTGGGACATGCGCCGGACGGATGCTAGGGACGAAGACAGAGACAGAGATAGAAGGAGGGATGACCAGGATAGGAGGAGGGACGAACAGGACAGGAGAAGAGATGGATACAACTATAACTCCAGATTCAACGCTGACGAAAGTGCCTACTGGGAGTTTGTCAACAAAGGCCAACCAGTGCAGAGCGTCTACTTCTTCAAGGGAGGTCAGGAAGGACACTTTATTGTCCTTTTGCATTTTGCTTTTTAACCTAGCCCCCCATTAAACACACACACACCCTAAGGGCACAGAACAACTTGAAATCCACCAGATATATTCTCTGTAATTGTTTTCCAGATAAATACTACAGAGTGGATCTGAAGACCAAGAAAGTGGACCCAGCCAGCCCTCCTTACCCCAGGTCCATCGGCAAGTACTGGCTGGGCTGCCCTGAAAAACACCTGGGGGCAGAGAAGAAATAGTTTCACAACTGGATAAAGAAACATATGCAGTATGTAAAGCATGTACATCAAAGACTCAAATAGACAGTAATTTGAAGCTAGATAATTTGAACAATCACTTCACAAAAATGTTCTGATGTGAGGACATTTCTGTTTGTACCTGGAATGCTTATATTTACATTTACATTTACGTCATTTAGCAGACGCTCTTATCCAGAGCGACTTACAAATTGGTGCATTCACCTTATAGCCAGTGGGATAACCACTTTACAATATGTTTTTTTTTTCTTTCTTTGGGGTGGGGTAAGGGGGGGTAGAAGGATTACTTTATCCTATCCCAGGTATTCCTTAAAGAGGTGGGGTTTCAAGTGTCTCCGGAAGGTGATGAGTGACTCCGCTGTCCTGGCGTCGTGAGGGAGCTTGTTCCACCATTGGGGTGCCAGAGCAGCGAAAAGTTTTGACTGGGCTGAGCGGGAACTGTGCTTCCGCAGAGGTAGGGGGGCCAGCAGGCCAGAGGTGGATGAACGCAATGCCCTCGTTTGGGTGTAGGGACAGATGAGAGCCTGAAGGTACGGAGGTGCCGTTCCCCTCACAGCTCTGTAGGCAAGCACCATGGTCTTGTAGCAGATGCGAGCTTCAACTGGAAGCCAGTGGAGTGTGCGGAGGAGCGGGGTGACGTGAGAGAACGTGGGAAGGTTGAACACCAGACGGGCTGCGGCATTCTGGATGAGTTGTAGGGGTTTAATGGCACAGGCAGGGAGCCCAGCCAACAGCGAGTTGCAGTAATCCAGACGGGAGATGACAAGTGCCTGGATTAGGACCTGTGCCGCTTCCTGTGTAAGGCAGGGTCGTACTCTCCGAATATTGTAGAGCATGAACCTACAGGATCGGGTCACCGCCTTGATGTTAGCGGAGAACGACAGGGTGTTGTCCAGGATCACACCAAGGCTCTTTGCACTCTGGGAGGAGGACACAACGGAGTTGTCAACCGTGATGGCGAGATCATGGAACGGGCAGTCCTTCCCCGGGAGGAAGAGCAGCTCCGTCTTGCCGAGGTTCAGCTTGAGGTGGTGATCCGTCATCCACACTGATATGTCTGCCAGACATGCAGAGATGCGATTCGCCACCTGGTTATCAGAAGGGGGAAAGGAGAAGATTTGTTGTGTGTCGTCTGCGTAGCAATGATAGGAGAGGCCATGTGAGGATATGACAGAGCCAAGTGACTTGGTGTATAGCGAGAATAGGAGAGGGCCTAGAACTGAGCCCTGGGGGACACCAGTGGTGAGAGCACGTGGTGCGGAGACAGATTCTCGCCACGCCACTTGGTAGGAGCGACCGGTCAGGTAGGACGCAATCCAAGAGTGAGCAGCGCCGGAGATGCCCAACTCGGAGAGGGTGGAGAGGAGGATCTGATGGTTCACAGTATCAAAGGCAGCAGACAGGTCTAGAAGGACAAGAGCAGAGGAGAGAGAGTTAGCTTTAGCAGTGCGGACAGCCTCCGTGACACAGAGAAGTGCAGTCTCAGTTGAATGACCAGTCTTGAAACCTGACTGGTTTGGATCAAGAAGGTCATTCTGAGAGAGATAGCAAGAGAGTTGGCTAAAGACGGCACGCTCAATAGTTTTGGAGAGAAAAGAAAGAAGGGATACTGGTCTGTAGTTGTTGACATCGGAGGGATCAAGTGTAGGTTTTTTGAGAAGGGGTGCAACTCTCGCTCTCTTGAAGACGGAAGGGACATAGCCAGCGGTCAAGGATGAGTTGATGAGCGAGGTGAGGTAAGGGAGAAGGTCACCGGAGATGGTCTGGAGAAGAGAGGAGGGGATAGGGTCAAGTGGGCAGGTTGTTGGGCGGCCGGCCGTCACAAGTCGCAAGATTTCATCTGGAGAGAGAGGGGAGAAAGAAGTCAAAGCATAGGGTATATGTAATACTTTTACAATTAAACACATTCTAACTGTAAAGGGTACCCACATGTTATTGGGGGTATTGAAATTAATCCAAGGCTCAATTGCCTGTAGCTCTTCCTACCCCTTATAAAAAATACTTTATTGGGCCTCCCAAGTGGCGCAGCGGTCTAAGGCACTGCTAGAGGTGTCATTTCAGTGCTAGAGGCGTCACTACAGACCCGGGTTCGATCCCGGGCTGTATCACAACCGGCCGTGATCAGGAGTCCCATAGGGCAGCGCACAATTGGCACAGCATCATCCAGGGTTAGTGGAGGGTTTGGCCGGGGGGGCTTTACTTGGCTCATCGCGCTCTAGCGACTCCTTGTGGCGGGCTGGGTGCCTGCAGGCTGACGTCAGTTGAACAGTGTTTCCTCCCACACATTGGTGTGGCTGGCTTCTGGGTTAAGCGGGCGGGTGTTAAGAAGTGCGGTTTGGCGGGTCATGTTTCGGAGGACGCATGACTTGACCTTCGCCTCCCGAAGCCTGTTGGGGAGTTGCAGCGATGAGCCAAGATTGAAAAAGGTGGTAAAAAAATAAATATTATACTATGATCTAAATAATGCACTAATACTATATTTATATCATATAGTATTCACTGTAGTGTTTTTGCAGACTTTACTGTAGTATTCATTGTAGTGTCTTTGCAGACTGAAGTCCACAAAACACTACAGTGAATACTGTATTATTTACTGTAGTATACTGTAGTATTTACAGTTAACTATAAAATAAATGTTTCCTATTTTGTAACACCTTCATAATCCATTTGATGTCATCCGTTTCATCACTTGTTTTGTTTCACTCAGTGTGCGTCCCAAATGGCACCCTATTTCCTTTATAGTGCACTACTTTTTTTTTATCAGGGCCACTATAAAAGGAATAGGGTGCCATTTGGGGCACAGCTTCAGTGTTCCAGTGAATAATAAATATCACAGACAGGTGATGGTTTGGAAAGGGTTGGTGCTGCCAGTGCCAACCCTTTTTAATGGTTCAAGCTGGCACCACAGAGCAATGTCAGCCGAGTATTTGTATTTGTATTTATTATGGATCCCCATTAGCTGCTGCCAAGGCAGCAGCTACTCCTCCTGGGGTCCGGCAAAATTAAGGCAGTTATACAATTTTTCAAACATTACAATACATTCATAACAGATTTCACAACACACTAAGTGTGTGCCCTCAGGCCCCTACTCCACTACCACATATCTACAACACATCCATGTGTACGTGTGTGTATAGTGCATATGTTATCATGTGTGTGTATGCATGTGTCTGTGTCTATGTTTGTGTTGCTTCACAGTCCCCGCTGTTCCATAAGGTGTATTTTTATCTGTTTTTTTAAATCTGATTCTACTGCTTGCATCAGTTACCTGATGTGGAATAGAGTTCCATGTAGTCATGGCTCTATGTAGTACTGTGCGCCTCCCATAGTCTGTTCTGGACTTGGGGACTGTGAAGAGACCTCTGGTGGCATGTCTTGTGTGGTATGCATGGGTGTCTGAGCTGTGTGCTAGTTGTTTAAACAGACAGCTCGGTGCTTTCAACACGTCAATACCTCTCACAAATACAAGTAGTGATGAAGTCAATCTCTCCTCCACTTTGAGCCAGGAGAAATTGACATGCATATTATTGTACATCTTGTGTACATCCTCTGTGTACATCCAGTAGAGCTCTCTGTGGCTCCCGAGTGGCGCAACGGTCTAAGGCACTGTATCTCAGTGCTAGAGGTGTCACTACAGACCCTGCTTCGATTCAAGGCTGTATCACAATCCGGCCGTGATTGGGAGTCCCATAGGGCGGTGCACAATTGGTCCAGAGTAGGCCGTCATTGTAAATAAGAATTTGATCTTTAACTGACTTGCCTAGTTAAATAAAGGTTAAAAAATAATAATATATACAGTATATATAATAAAAAAACATCCAAGGGCCAGCCGTGCTGCCAATTGCAATTTTCATAAGTCCCTCTTTATGGCACCTGACCACACGACTGAACAGTAGTCCAGGTGCGACTAAACTAGAGCCTGTAGGACCTGCCTTGTTGATAGTGCTGTTAAGAAGGTAGAGCAGTGCTTTATTATGGACAGACTTCTCCCTATCTTAGCTACTGTTGTATCAATATGTTTTGACCATGACAGTTTACAATCCAGGGTTGCACCAGCAATTTAGTCTCCTCAACTTGCTCAATTTCCATATTATTAATTACAAGATTTAGTTGAGGTTTAGGGTTTAGTAAATTATTTGTCCCAAATACAATGCTTTTAGTTTTTGAAATATTTAGGACAAACTTATTCCTTGCCACCCATTCTGAAACTAACTGCAGCTCTTTGTTAAGTGTTGCAGTCATTTCAGTTGCTGTAGTAGCTGACGTGTATAGTGTTGAGTCATCCGCATACATAGACACACTGGCTTTACTCAAAGCCAGCGGCATGTCGTTAGTAAAGATTGAAAAAAGTAAGGGGCCTAGACAGCTGCCCTGGGGAATTCCTGATTCTACTAGGATTATGTTGGAGAGGCTTCCATTAAAGAACACCCTCTGTGTTCTGTTAGACAGGTATCTCTTTATCCACAATATAGCAGGGGGTGTAAAGCCATAACACATACGTTTTTCCAGCAGCAGACTATGATCGATAAGGTCAAAAGCCGCACTGAAGTCTAACAAAACAGCCCACACAATATTTTTATCGTTAATTTCTCTCAGCCAATCATTAGTCATTTGTGTAAGTGCTGTGCTTGTTGAATGTCCTTCCCTATAAGCGTGCTGAAAGTCTGTTGTCAATTTGTTTACTGTAAAATAGCATTGTATCTGGTCAAACACAATTTTTCCAAAACTTTACTAAGGGTTGGTAACAGGCTGATTGGTCGGCTATTTGAGCCAGTAAAGGGGGATTTACTATTCTTAGGTAGCGGAATTACTTTTGCTTCCCTCCAGGCCTGAGGGCACACACTTTCTAGTAAGCTTAAATTGAAGATATGGCAAATAGGAGTGGCAATATCGTCCGCTATTGTCCTCAGTAATTTTCCATCCAAGTTGTCAGACACCGGTGGCTTGTCATTGTTGATAGACAACAATAATTTTGTTCACCT